TTCCAGAAGCTCTGCCGTCGTCGGGGACGCCTGCCCCCTGGGCGGCTGGAAAGTCTCGACCCCTACGTGGCACCGTAGGGGTATACATATAAGCTTGGCAGCCGCCAGGGTGGGCAGGCGACCCGGACGGCGGAACAGTTTACGTTTTGCTTGCAATACCTCGCGCCTTCTTAGAAGTCTTCCGAGCCTTCTCCGATGACGCAGAGCACTCCTCAGAAGGCGCGAAGGCTTCTGAGAAGGCCAGCCTCCATCTGAGGCCTGCCCCTTCTCGCTTCACCCGCGGGCTCGCCGCCCAGAGAGGATCTCGTCTACCCCGGGAACCTGGACATCGAGTAGGGGGTCGATTGCAGAACTGACCACAAACTTGACTTTTCCGCCGAATCTACGCAAAGCGCAGAGCGTGGCGGCAATCGGCGCAGCAGCCTACGTGTGTGTGTTCGCAGATTCGGCGGGAGAATGAACTCTGGGTAAGTCAGCTCTGTAGTCGATCCCCTGCCCCAGGACAGCAGGGAGCTCGCGCGACTGGAGGTGCCGATCGAGCTCGCGGTCCGCAACCTGGTCCACAGAGGCGCTCGCGGACGCCCGAAGCGGCGGGGATGCCATCACCCGGGGCCTCTCCTGGGCCGGTGGCGCCTGCTGCGCGCCCCTTCTCCCCTTCTCCTCCTCCTCCTCCTCCTCCTCCTCCTCCTCCTCCTCCTCATCCTCATCCTCCTCCTCTCCTCCTCCTCCTCCTCCTCCTCCTCCTCCTCCTCCTCCTCCTCCTCCCTCCCTCCACCTCCTCCTCCTCCTCCCTCCTCCTCCTCCTCCTCCTCCTCCTCCTTTCTGAGACTTCCTCACCGCTTATGGTTCGGAAGCTCGACGAATGGCAACCAGTTCACAGATGGAGGGCGGGCCGTTTTCAGAATGCTGCTCTCGCCTTAGCACCGCGCGCACTCGTTCTAAACATTGACAAGAGTTTCACGGATTCGGGGCGTGTGGTTTTCAAGATGTTGTTCTCGCTTTAGCGCCGCGCGCATTCTTTCGTATACATTTGCAAGGGTTTTACGTAATGAGGGCGGGCCGTTTTCAAAGTGTGGCTCTCGCTTTAGCGCCGCGCACACTCGATTTGAAACATTGCAAGAGCTTCACGGATTGAGGGCGGGTGGTTTTCAAAAGGTGGCTTTCATTTTTAGCGCCGCGCACATTGGGTTTTAATACTTGCAAGAGCTTCGCGGGTTGAGGGCGCGTGGTTTTCAAAATGTGGTTCTTGCCTTAGCGCCGCGCACACTCGTTTAAACAGTTGCAAGAGCTTCGCGGATTGAGGGCGGGTGATTTTCTCGCTTTAGCGCCGCGCACATTGGATCTCAACGCTTGCAAGAGTTTCCTGGGTTGCGGGCGGTTCCTTTTCAAAGTGTGGTTCTCGCTGTAGTACCGCGCACATTCGTTTTAAACATTTGCAAGAGTTTTACACATTCCCAGGATCATCTTGCCAGAAATCGTGTTTTGGAAGGTTTCCGGATTTTGTGGGTGCAACATGAGGTTGATTCGCGGTGTTGAAGTCCCAAAAAAGGCGTTCCAGCACGACTCCAGATCGCCAGGACGCAGCATTTTGGTTGATCCGTGGCGTGGAAATCCCGAGAACCTTTTTTGTCATGCTTCGAGGTCTTCAAACGGTTGCCTTCCAACGAGGCAGTTCCCTCAATTGAAATAAACCGATGTAAGGGCTTATGAGGGAGCTTGGAGGGAGGGTTAATTACAACATCGTTGATGATTATTGGGTTTGCACTGGTCCTCCTCCTCCTGCTCCTTCTCCTCCCCCTCATCCTCCTCGTCCTCCTCCTCCTCCTGCCCCTCCTCCTCTCAAGCCACTTGGGCCCGAACCATTTTGGCGGGGCTCATTCTCCTGTGCTTTCACGTAGCGCTTGAGGAACTCTGACCACACCCCCTGCCGTGGGAGAGTGTGGCATCGACCAAAGCAGGAGACAACTTTCAGTCATGGCTGGCACCGTCGCTCGTCGCTCCTGGTCCCGCTGCAGCAAGTGTGGACAGTGCGAGTACAACGATGTGCTAGAGGAGCAGATGGGTTTCTGCATGAATTGCGGGTCAACCGTGGAGTTGTACAAGGCTCGCGGTCGTGCAGTACGTTTTGCAGACACTGTGTCGACGGATCAGGTGGTGAACGATTGGAAGGGGGACGCCTCGTTGGTGCATCCCGAGGGGATCCTCCGCTCGCGCAGCCAGTCCCCTCAGCCTGGAGCGGGACGAGGCAAGCGCGGGAAGGCGGGTGGCAAGGGCCGTGGCCCCGACCACAGCAAGGATGAAGTCTCGACGCTGCTCCAGAGAGCGGCTGAGGCTGCCGACGGTGACCTGAAGGTGGCGCTGCAGGAGCAGGTTAAGAAGCTCGACGAGGCGGCGCTGCTGGCCAAGGCCTCGGAGCCCACCTCGGCAGTGGAGGCCCTCAGGAGGGCAGACGGCGTCTAACCGAGATGCTGATCACAAGCACAACCAGGCCGTGGCGAACCTGGTGAGACTGCGCAAGGCGGTCGAGGCCGCGGAGAGCAAGGAGCAGGTCACTGTCACGTCTCTGGCGGAGGCTCTCTGCGCGCGGCGCTCTGCCGCGCGAGCCTTGGCCCACGCCGAGGGCGTGGAGGCCGAGATGGCGACCGCTAAGGAGCAGGACAAGAGCAACGGGAAGCTGATCCAGGTAGTTTGGGACAAGGGTTTCTTCGATTCGCTCGAGAACTTGGAATGTGAAACTCACGAGAAGGAAGGCTTGGAGGACATCCGTGCTGGGCTTCTTGCGACAGAGGCTGAGATGGACTCCAAGGAGAGCGAGGTACGGGCCTGGCTCAAGCAGATGGAGGAGCTCAGGAAGTCCATCGAGGCGAGGCTGGCCAAGAAGCGCCGCACGGGCGCTGATGGCGAGCGCGTGGCTGGGGCCCCAGACGAGGAGGCCACCCCAACCCAGGGCGCCGCGGCGGCCGCGAGCCAGCCTCCCGCTGGCGACACCTCCCGCTCCCAGACGCCCACCGCAGCTGGGGCGTCGCCTGCTGCCACGGCTGCTACTCCTGGGAGTGGCGGCCGTTCTGCGCAGGAGCGGGAGGTCATCGAGGCGGGGGCCAAGCGGCTGCCGGAGGCCAAGCTGTCAGCGGAGGACTTATCGCAGAAGGGCAAGAGCGGCAAAGGCGAGGGGACTGCTGAGGAGTCTTGACTAGGGTCTGCCTCTACAGCAAGGGCTCGCTCTTCGGATGGCGAGCGCAACGGGGATAATATTCACGTATTATATTCTAATGTCTTGCATGGGGGATAAGGCTTGGTCATTCGTCGAGCAGTCCACTGCCCAGTTCGACCTGTTCGCCCTTATCGAGACGCACGTGCATTCCGTCAGCGGTCTTCGCAAGTGCGAGGCGAAGGCCAAGGAGAATGGCTATCGCCTCATTGCCAATGCTGCTCGCCAGAGAGAGGGGTGCAGGAGTTCCACGGGCCAGGAGGAGCACGCCAATGAGGGAGGTGAGTTCCTGATGTCCCGTCGGCATCTGCAAGTGCATCGAGTTGCTGCTCTGAAGAATGCAGGCTCACGTCTGCAGGCACCAGGGCACAAGTGCACGGATGGCTTTGCTGCGCAAGTTGTCCATTGCAAGGGGTATTCCCTCGTGCTGGCGACCTTCTACGCCCATTCCTGTTTGGGCATGCGGGGTCTCGACATGGGCCGATTTCGACGGCTTGCTGGCTTTCTGTTTGCGTTGCAGCTCCCGTGGGCAGTCATAGGCGATTGGAACATGAGTGTGCAGGAGCTTCGGAAGTCTTGTTTTGGAAAAAATCGGAGGTTTCATCATTCAAGCAGACATTCAGTCGACGTGCAACCTAGCTGCTGGTACCCACATCGATTACCTCATGTGTAGTGAGTCGGCCCGCCCGTTTGTTGTCGATTTGCAGCCTGTGGTCTCGGTGCCCCGGGGACCCCGCGTCGGGCTGCACCTCGCTCTTAGAGGCAGCGGGGAGCAGCTCATCACGAGGGTCATGGAAGCCCCTGGGAAGCCCACTCAGGTCCCGAGGCCCACGATGGCCCCCACTTCGGGCTCAAAATCTAGCATTGCTAAGGCGCGCAGACAGATTCAACATCGGGCGGCTGTCGATAAGAGACTAGCCCAAATTAATACCTTGTTTGGGGATTGTGCTCAATCCGTAGGGGATCAGCTGTTGGAAGGGCCTGATGGGGGTGAAAGTGCCCCGACCGCAGCTGAGTCTAATACTGTAGGTTCTGATTTGCCGTGTGAAGAGAATGGTTTTGACTATTCCGAGTGGCCTGAAGAAGAGGACCCATGGGCTGATGAGCTCAACTTTTGTCCTGGCGCGTCCCTCGGGCACGCTCTGCACGCATCTAACCACAGCACTGGTGGGGGTCCGCTTTGTGGGGCGTCGTCGTCGGTCGCCGCCGTCGGCCCTCAACCAGTGCTTGCATCCAACCCTGTGTTTCACGAAGGTAGCCAGGGGGCTCCGGAGGCTGGTAGAGGTTGCTCGACTGTGGACTCGGGACCAGCCCGCAGCTCCACGGTTGGCCCTCCGCCGCGCCGCGAGACCCTGGCTCCTTCTCGAGAGTTGGGTCCTGACAGCTCGGGAAGAGCGCAGTCTCAGGCTGAAGCTAGGCCTAGTTTCCGTATTCCCGAGGATACCTGGTCTCGGTGTCGGGAAGAAGTAGGATTTGTCTCGGGGTCTGCCCGTCTTCAGTCCCTTGCTCCTGCTTTGCGTGATTCCGTAGCCTGTAGGCTCAAACCTGATTTGATTGCGGCTGTTTCAGGACTTTACTCTTCGTGGGTCACGTCTGTTGAGAATACTATTACATGTCGCCATGGCGTCCAGGTCCCCGCGGGACCACGTCGGGCTGATGGAGTGCAGTTCTCTGTCCAGCCTATGCGAATGACGACCAAGACGCGAGTGACGCCAGTTCGTAACGCTATCAGTTGCTGGTGGACGCAGTTGCACACGCTACTACACGGCATCCACCACCATCGGCAGAAGCAGAATGGAGCCAGCCAGGTTCGGAAGTATATCCAATCTTGTCGCCGTCACTTGGATGTTCGACCAGACCAGGTGCAGGGAGTTCTTTTGGAGTCCAAAGATCGTTCTTGGGATGACTGGCTCCATCTCTTGCACAATATCGGTTCGGCTGACGATCGTGAGTTGGCGTATTTTGAGCTTGCGGCAAAGAAGGTCAGTGCTCGCAGTCAACGGCGGGCGATCCAGGAATCTTTATCGGAGTTCAAGGATTTTGTGGAGGACAAGGAGTCGTTGGGACGCCTGCATAAGTCTCTCAACCCACTCCCTCAGCCGTCGGACGAGATGGAGCACGAGGGAGTGACCCTCTACCACCCGAAGGGCCTCATCGATGCTAAGGCTCGGCACTGGCATCGGCTCTGGGCTCCAACTACCTTGGTGGAGGATGAGGTCTTCGAGGCTTTCGCCGAGGTGCAAGCGGCGGCGGAGGACGACCCGCTACCCAGCATCACGGTGGAGGAAGTCCGTCGAGCTCTACGGAGGATGCGTCCAGGCACTGGCATGGGGGTGGACTTCGTCACACCGATCGACTTG